TGGAGTTCCAGCCAAAGGCTTGCCCCATCCTCACAGAAGGCTATGAGGAGAATTTCTAGGCCCCTGCACTGTGCCCTGGGTGCACAATGTGGATTTGTCTGCAGATCTTATGGCTGAGTGATTATTAGATGACTCCCTATACCAACTTTTAGCCTTCTCATTACTTCTGGGCTCTTGACACTTGATGTTTTTCTAGGTCTAAAATGTGTTACCCTCTCTGCAGGGACTGCGTAACTAGGTCTGTATGTCCTTTTATCAGCAAAGGGAAAAAGACTATAAATAGGTATGGCCTAGATCTGGAACTTGTGAAAAAGGGCCACAAAGAGAGTGTTTAAAAGCCATGGATGCAGAAATAGAGCAGGATAGAATATCGCTGAGCTGTCTGGCTTTCCAGATTGAGGAAGAAGTCTGGGAAAAGCCCATAGACCTCTTTTTAATTATGTTTATGTGTATATGGGCACACATGGATGACTACAGAGGCCAGAGGCTACAGCATCTTGAAGCTGGAGTTATAGGCAGTTGTTAGCTACCTGATGTGGCTGCTAGGAACTGAACTTGGGTCCTCTGTAAGAGCAAGATATTTCTTTGACCCTCACACCTAAGAATTTTTATCCATTCTTACTCCAAACAGTTCAGTTGGCTTGGTTTTGTGACAGATAAAAGTTAATGATTCTAGTCGGGCATGGTGGTGCACGCCTTTAATCCCAGCACTCGGGAGGCAGAGGCAGGGGCATCTCTGTGAGTTCAAAGCCAGCCTGGTCTACATAGTGAGTTCCAGGACAGCTAGGGCTACAGGGAGACCCTGTCTCAAAAAAGACCAAAAAAAAAAAAAGTTAATGATTTGAAATTGTTCCAAGTATGAAAGAGAAATTCAGAGATATTTGCCTCTTTCATTTAACAACACATTTATAGCCTCCTAGCCACAGAAAACATCATTGGCAAAGGGAAACACACAGACTGTTTTTCAGCAAAGTCATATTCTGGTTAAAAGCAGACAAGTGAAATAGGAGACTACACAGCGTGACAGGTGTTGAGCCAGGACACTGTGGTGATAATGTAGGTGTGCTCGAAGATGGGTGGGTGTTAGCCAGGCCAAGAATGGGGAAAATCTCCAAGGGCCAGAGTAACAATGGGTAGAGGTGTGGAGATATCGGGAACCAGGAGCTGCTAAGCACACTGAGCATAGAAATGGGGTGAGTCACTCTGAGGCAGCTTTGTTCCCTAGCAAGAGCTTTGGAGTCAGACACTGCTGGATCCCAACCTTGCCATTTACTGGCTGTGTGTCTTTAGCCTGGAACTGAGGATCCTCTGAGCCCATTCTCTCACCTCCCTGGCTAAACTAGGATATCTTTTCTCCTCCATGATTGGGGGAAGTCAGAGAGCAGTTATAGGGCCTTTCCCAGTACACGCTCCTGATATGGAAGATACTATGGTGGTAGCAGGATAATAAGTGGGCCTACTTGGCAAGAGAGGAAAGGCCAGGGTGTCTGATTGAAAGCGTGACTCCTTAAGAGGCCACAGACTATATGCACACACATTTTCTAAGTCAAGTAGAAACAATATGATCACCCAAACCCCAAAATGTATAGCTTTGGGGAACAGGTTTAAAGGGCCGGGCATGATGGTACATGCCTTTAATCCCAACAGAGGCAGACAGATCTCTCTGAGTTCAAGGCCAGCCTGGTCTTCATAGTGAGTTCCAGGCCAGCAGAGACTAGAGGGAGACCCTGTTTCAAAAGACAAAAAAAACATGGCTGGCCTGAAACAAACCAATTGATTTCTCACCACTAAATATGAGCTTTGGAGGAAGATCTTCAGTTCAGTGTCCAAGAAAAAAAAAAACGGAAAATCAAAAAAGAAAAGTGTTGAGGGGGGAGGGTGGTTTTATGGTGGCCTGGTTGGCTGCCTTTAGCTAGGAAGCACCCCCTCCTGCTGGAGGGCCAGAAAGGAATGGAAGTGGAAAAGTGGGGAAGAAGCAGGCCTAGTTTAGGCATGAAAGCCCACTAGTTCCCTGGGATGTCATTACATAAGTTTTAAGCTCTAATTAGCTCTCATGTTCCTCTAGATTGGAAGGGCTAAGTAGGTTTCCTTCTCTGCACTCCCTCATCTTGTCCCCAGGAGCAATGGGAATGCAGACAGCGTGCACGCGCACACACACACGAGCAATGGGAATGCAGACAGCCCACACACACACATGTGCATCAGAGCCCAGATTCCATTGGGTCTGAACGTCTGTGTGCATGTACATACCAGTCACTGAACAAGGACTGTTCATGTTCCAGGTACCAGCCCTATTTGATGAGGTAGCCATATATTTTTCCGATGAGGAGTGGGAAGTTTTGACAGAGCAACAAAAGGCCCTCTACCGGGAAGTCATGAGGATGAATTATGAGACCGTCCTGTCCCTGGGTAAAGCTTTGTTTTTCTTTGTCTCCTCGAAGCTCTGAGCCCAGAAAACTGTCCCCATGTCTTTCTTCTCTGCTGTAGCCAAGCTTTCTCAACTGAGCTCTCCCCTCCATGCCTATGCCCTCTTCCTAGTTTTGATTTGGACAGGTTATACATATGCCACCTCTTAGAACAGTCCTCATTCAGCCCAGGTATTCCCATTACTTTGAAAAAAAAAAAAACGTGTGAGGGCTGGAGAGATGGCTCATTGGTTAAGAACACTGGTTGTTCTTGCAGAAGACCCAGGTTTGAATCCCAGCACCACATGGCAGCTAACAACTGTCCATAACTCCAGTTCCAGGGGATCCAACAGCTTCTGTCCTCCTCGGGCATTGCAGGCAATACACTCATACACATAAGAATAATAAAATATATATATTTTTTAATGTGTAACCTTTAAAATGTCCCCATGAATCTGGGCCTGTGCTTTATCCTTAAAAAGGAAGGCCTTGTCATCCTTTTAGCCTCAGATACTTAAAGCATTCTCCCAAAACATACACATAGCATTATCCCTCTTCTCCAAGTGTAACCATTTGGAAGAATTTCCCAGTTTGCTTAGTTGAGAACCAAAATATTCATGGATCAGTGGCTGCATCCATCCATTCTCTGCTAACTACTATATGTTTGTATGTTTACTGTTGCTAGTACCAGCTCTTATTATCACAGATCAGATATTTCCTTAGACAGTCTTGGCTTTCCATCCTATATTTCCTTTATGTATCACTAAGCTTTGCCCCCTGCCCCTAATCACATGGGAGGGAGAGGGATGTTGTGGAGGTGTTGTCTATAAAGTACTTACTTTGGTATTGCTCCAGGATAACACGCAGCTCTTCCCTGTTTTATTTCCTGTGAACAGAATTCCCATTCCCTAAGCCAGACATGATCACAGACATGGAAAGGGAGGAGGAGTCTCATAATTCTGATGAGTGGCAACTTCAAGGAGGAACATTTGCAGGTACTGAGTGAAGTGATTCAGCATCTACCCCAAGAAACCTGAAACCAGGTTTTCATTTTCTGTGTGTTTTCTGTAGGATATTTAGGAGTGATGTCTCCCTTTCTAGTATTTTATGAACTTAGGCAACCTCTTTCACCCAGGCTTCCACTTCATTATCAGTTGTGAGTTTAAAGCCTTGATGTTCAACCTGGTATGTAGATGAAGTGATATGAGGCATCTGGTCCATACTGAATGAGTGTAGCCACTTCGGCAACATACTGAACCAAATGCCTCTGTAAAATAAGTCATAGTGAGAGGAAAGCATGTGTCTAGAGTTATTTACTCTGGATGTCCTGTTTCATTCTGGATAGGAAAGGCAGTAACAGCTACAGTGCCCAGTCCAAGTAAGTCTAACAAGTTCCTAGACCTTTTTTAAGAAAAATGATTGGAAATTTTAACATGGGGGCTGGGGATGTGGCTCAGTTGATAGAGCTTGCCTAGCATGCATGAAGTTCTGGGTTCAGTCCCCAGCACCACATAAATCCTAGCACTTTGAAGGTAGAGACAGGCAGATCAGAAGTTCAAGGTTATCTTTGGCTGTATTGAAGGTTCAAGGCCAGTGTGGGCTACATGAGACCCTGTCTCAAGAAATATATATACATGGGGCTAGAGAGAGATGCCTCAGCTGCTAGGAGCACTGGCTGCTCTTACAGAGGACCTAGATTCAATTCCTAGCACCCACATGGCAGCTAACAACTGTCTGTAACTCCTGTTCCAGGGGATCTGATGGCCTCTTCTGGCCTCCACAGCCATCGCATGCATATGGTATACTTACATACATGCAAAACATTCATACACAATAAACTTCAGAGTTAAAATGTGTGTGTGTGTGTATCACATCTTTCAGACAGCCAAAATAGTTTTGCTTTTCTCTACAGTTAAGTTTAAAATGCCATATTTCATTGATTCAAAGAGATCACTTTCCTAACACTGAAATTGAAAATGCCTCTTAAAAGAAATGGCATGTGATAGTTAAAATTAGTGGCATTTTTTTTTTCTTTTAGTAACATCTAATAGTGCTTCATTTGGGTAAGATACAGTAATTTCCCCAGACCATACTACTTCTGTGACCACTTTCCAAATTTCGCATTGGTGTGCAAGAACTTTGCTAATGTGGCCTTTGCTATAGGTTTTCTTGGGTCAAGGGCTGATTTAGCCCACAGTGTGTCCAGATCTCTGTAATATTAGGTGGTAGTATGGATACATTTTACTTGTTAGCCACAAAGATTGTGTGGGGATGGTGGGGTGATGGTGGTCCTGTGGTACTGGGGATGGAACCTAGGGCCACGTATATGCTAGGCAAGCACTGTACCATTGAGCTACATCCCCAACTCTCTTTTTACTTTATATTTTGAGATAGAGTCTTACTAAGTTGCTCAAGGTAGCTTGAATCTGTAACCCAGGCAAACCTTGAATTTGTGATCTTTCTGCTTATGCCACCCAAATAGCTGATATTTATAGGCCTCCACCACCAGGCCCAGCTAAAACATTGTTTTGACCCAAACATGGCCTCCATATAACTAGGTCCAAGCTTGGTACCTGTGTCTAGTTCCCACTGAACTTTCTGTCACTTCCCAGCATAGCTACCTTGATATATTTCATAGCATCTGTAGCCTCTTTCCTCTTCTGCAAAGAACCCCTTTTCTACATGGTGGCTACGAAAATTGGATATGGTAGTTCATGTAAATGGACATGGGTAAGGACTTGGGCAGTGGTATCTGTTAAAGTCTTGGTTCACTTTTGATGAGCCTCACATTCAACATTATGATTCCCCCGCCAAAAAAAAAAATCCAGGAATAAATCGTTTAACTTACTGGCATTATTTTTGCTCCTCATTTGCCTCCCAGAAAATGAAGACTCTGACTTGAAGCTTCCAGACTGGGGAGACCCAATGAATGCCACCTCCCATTTTCCTCAGCCTAGGCATCTTGATGGCTTTGGCCTGCGTCTGCCTCAGGATATCACAGAGCTGCCTGAGTGGAGTGAGGGCTACCCCTTCTACATGGCCATGGGCTTCCCAGGGTATGACCTCTCAGCTGACGACTTAGCCAGCAAGTTTCAGTTCAGCCGGGGCATGCGCCGCAGTTACGACGCAGGCTTCAAGTTGATGGTGGTGGAGTTCGCCGAGAGCACCAACAACTGCCAGGCCGCCAAGCACTTTGGAGTGCTGGAAAAGAACGTTCGAGACTGGCGCAAAGTAAAGCCTCAGCTCCAAAATGCCCACGCCATGCGGCGGGCCTTCCGAGGCCCCAAGAATGGGAGGTTTGCACTGGTGGACCAGCGCGTGGCAGAGTATGTCAGATACATGCAGGCCAAAGGGGACCCTATCACTAGGGAGGCCATGCAGTTGAAGGCTCTAGAAATTGCCCAGGAAATGAACATTCCAGAGAAAGGGTTCAAGGCAAGTCTGGGCTGGTGTCGGAGAATGATGAGAAGGTATGATCTGTCTCTGAGGCATAAAGTGCCGGTACCCCAGCATCTGCCCGAGGACCTGACTGAGAAACTCATCACCTACCAGCGGAGTGTGTTGGCTCTCCGCAGGACACATGACTATGAAGTAGCACAGATGGGGAACGCGGATGAGACGCCCATCTGCTTAGAGGTGCCCTCCAGAGTGACTGTTGACAATCAGGGTGAAAAGCCTGTCTTGGTCAAGACACCCGGCAGGGAGAAGCTGAAGATCACAGCCATGCTGGGTGTCTTGGCTGATGGGAGGAAGTTACCCCCATACATCATTTTGAGGGGAACATACATCCCCCCTGGAAAGTTCCCCAGTGGCATGGAAATCCGCTGCCATCGCTACGGGTGGATGACTGAGGACTTGATGCAGGACTGGTTGGAAGTCGTGTGGAGACGGAGGACAGGAGCTATGCCCAAGCAGCGAGGGATGCTCATCCTGAATGGCTTCCGAGGCCATGCCACCGACTCTGTGAAAAGTTCCATGGAAAGCATGAACACAGACATGGTCATCATCCCAGGGGGCCTGACCTCACAGCTGCAGGTGTTGGATGTGGTGGTCTACAAGCCACTGAATGACAGTGTGCGGGCCCAGTACTCCAACTGGCTTCTGGCGGGGAACCTGGCGCTAAGCCCCACTGGAAATGCCAAGAAGCCACCCCTGGGCCTCTTCCTGGAATGGGTCATGGTTGCCTGGAACAGTATCTCAAGTGAGTCTATCATCCAAGGGTTCAAGAAGTGCCATATCTCCAGCAACTTAGAGGAAGAAGATGATGTCCTGTGGGAAATTGAGAGTGAGTTGCCTGGAGGAGAGCCACCAAAAGAATGTGATTCTGTGACTGACAGCCACTGAAGGAAAAGTTGAGGTAACGCGTCAGGAATAGGTGCCCTGCTGTCATTGATGCAGTGTTTATGTCCAACACACACCATTTTGCTTTCCATTAGCTTTGTTTTTAAAGTGCTCTTAGAGCCTGCCATACGAAGTGTAGAGAGCAGGCCTTTAGCATTTTTTCTTTAGTAGGAAACTGATTGCTTAGCTTATTTGTATTTTGTTCTGTGGCCTGGACTCAGGGGCACTTGTTTAATAGGCAAGAACAAAGAGCTTTCAGAACACTTAATCTGAGAGTTATAACAATGCAAAAAGTTACCTGCACTGGAAGAGCATAGTCATTGTTCAGTTCACAAAAAATTGTCTAAAAAGACAACTTTATTTCCCTTATAAATGCTGAACTTTTAAGGCTTGTATGTGTGCCTGATTTACCTGAGATGGTTGTACTGGCTTTTGCTGGTCTGCAGGATTAGGATCCAAGGAGAGAATGAAGTCTGCCTTCAGCACAGTGACCTGTGTCCTGGAGTGGTCATACCATGCCCACCAGGGAAGTCGTAGCTTTTGTTTGCTCTTCTCTAGGGGATGTGAGGGTTTTAAAACATCATCTTAATGTGATACGGACCTTCACACAGATGAACCATTACAGTCAATTCCTGTTGTCACCAGATGTTTGAAGGAAGGTATTTTTAAGCTAGATCATTGAGGGACTGGAGAGATGTTCAGCTGTTAAGAAAGTGTATAGCTCTTGCTCTCAGCACCCAAATTAGGTCACTCACAACCACCTGTACCACCAGCTTCAGGGACTCTGATGCCCTCTTCTGGCTTCTGTGGGCACTATACTCAGGTACACAATTCCACATAGACAGCATATTGAATTAAAAACAAATCTTTAAAAAATTTGAATCTGCTGGGTATGGTGGCACACATCTTTAGTCCCAGCACTCAGGTGGCAGAGGAAGGAGGATCTCTTTGAGTTCAAGGCCAGCCTGCTCTACACAGTGAGTTCCAGGCCAGCTGGGGCTACAGGGATATCCTGTCTCAAAATTACCAAAAAATAAAAATAAAAAAAATAAAAAACTTGAATCTTTGCACCAGAAAAGGAAAATAAAATAGGATGTTATCTAGGACTACAGTAAGTAAAGTCTGAGGACCAAAGAAATCAAGCTGGGTGTTCTGAGTTGAGTACAGAAGAAAAGTAGCTTTCAAAGTAAGCTGGGAATGGGAGCCCAACAGAACCCACCCCAGCAAAAGCCCACACCACTCCTCCCCTTACACCTTGAGCTTACACCTTGGTCACAGAGTAGGGGACGCGTGGAAGGCATAATTTTCCTAATTGTCAGTCTGTGCCTCTACACTAAAAAGGAAAGTGGCTGGCCCTTTGACAAAAGACCTCATCTTAACATACCTTCTCTTTTTTGAAAGTATAATTGCATTATGTTTTTTCCCCCAAGTGAAAAGCTAATAGAAATCTTTACCCTCTTCATGCTGTGTAAGTGCATTCCAAGAGTCACATACGTACGTGTCCTTCCTTGCCCTCAAATCATATTCTCCCCATGTCATTGAGCTCCATGGTAATGCTGGGATCTCTAGAATTACAACAGAGCAAGAAGTTCTTACTATTGCATTCAAGATACCAAAATGCAGTTTTCTTCTCACACACCTACTCCTTATAACACCCCATGAATTCAGCCTCCCTTTCTGCTGACCACTCCACTGCCTCCATTGGATTTCAAAGTTTGAATTGCAGTTATTTTATCTTTTCCTCATTTTTGCTTTTTCCCTCTCCTTGGTAGATAATATTTTCAATTTTCTAAGCAAGTTACCACTCCAGGAACCCAGTGAAAAACTGTCAGAAGAGACAGGGCAGAAAACCATGCTAAGCCACAGCTGTGAACTCAAGCACTTAGGTCCATGTCAGCATGAGCTTCTGCTCTTCCAGATGTTAAGTTCCCCATGCAGCTGCTGAAGTGATGGGAACAGACAGGGATTCACAGTAAATGAGAGATTCAGGAGACCTGGGCATAAAACTGCCTCCTGCCCTGTTTGAAAATCTAACTAGTGAGTACTATTTTTGTTAAAAGTTAGAAGGCAACTCCAAATTCCAAGTTAATTCATGCTTAGGTTCTCTCTGTTTTCCAGCAAATGCAACTGTAGTAGAAACAGTTGGGGCAGAAAACCCATGAGAAGATGGTTTCCTGAAAGAGTGGATGCACAGGGACCAAAAAAGGCTCTGGGCATCCCATCTCAAGACAGCCGCACCTACCCTGTAAGGTGTCAGCCAAGTATAGGACCCTTAATTTCAGAGACAAAACTAGAAAAAAAAAACTTTCTGCCCACTTCTTTTGGAGATGTCTCCTTCTACCTGTTCAAGAAACTGTAAATATGAACAAAGGTAATTCCTAGAGAAGAGAACGTTCGTTCAACACCAAGACTCAGCATTTCACCACAGCTCTAGTGGTGTCCTTTGTGTGGAGAAGAAACCTCGAATAGATGTTCTATTTTGCCTTTGCAAATGCTTCCAGAGGTAGAATGTGTTTCCACATGGTTCAAGACTACAGAAAAGATTTCTTGAAATGTGTCACTGATGAACTACTGTTCCCCATTCCTCACTGAGGAAAATGAGAATGTTAATAACAGCAAAGTTAAGACATTGGCTTGATACTAGAAGATGGCTTTTCTGTAGATAAACTAGTTAGTGTGGAAGATAAGAGTTTAAAATAAATGATGCTGTTTTACTTATCTTTCCATTCTGGTTGGCAGCTATACCTTTTTAGGGTCTGATTTAATGACCCTATTTTTTCCATTATCCTATTTAATGATAAGGCAGCACTTAGCACACAGCTTTTCTGTTTCTCAGGCTGCCTGCAAAAGTCACTAACTTATCTGCTATCTACATGGATGTACAGGGCCCATTGACTCAGCTTGTATGGTTAAGTTTATATTTTTTGTCACAAGAGCAGTGGGAGCGATTGAGCCACGGCTATTTCAGGACTTCCACCCTATAAGAATAGGCCTGAGGTCATTAATTTTTCCACAGTAGTAACTTGTATTCCCATGTAGGTTGACTGTTATGAAAACATTTCTTCAAAGCTATCTGTGCTACAGAACTTATACTAGGACCTTCTAGATGAAGCCATCGCTAGCTCTGTCATTCCTAATATTCAATCTGGATAACAGACTGCCATAACCACTGTTCCTTCCTGTTTACTCAGCTCACATGGATACTATAAGCTGTTCTTGGCATCTTGAAACACCAGCTTCTACTCAGGTACTCATTTTTCTGCTAGTGATTCACCTTTCTGACCTTTTTTAACCAGTCATCCCATTCACCCAGTTTGTCATTTTCCCAAACACATGACAATTATTTGTTTCCCCCATTTGCTTTTATTTGTACTGTCTTGTCATCCCAAAATGGCATCTAAACTCTGCTACTTTCCATGCCATAAGCACCCTGCCCTACTCCCTGGCTTTTTTTTTTTTTTTTTTTTGGTCTTTTTGAGACAGGGTCTCCCTGTAGCCCCAGCTGTCCTGGACCTCACTATGTAGATCAGGCGGGCCTTGAACTCCCAGAGATCCCCCTGCCTCTGCCTCCTGAGTGCTGGGACTAAAGGTGTGCACCACCACACCCGGCTCCCTGGCTTTTTTTTTTTTTTTTTGGTCTTTTTGAGACAGGGTCTCCCTGTAGCCCCAGCTGTCCTGGACCTCACTATGTAGATCAGGCGGGCCTTGAACTCCCAGAGATCCCCCTGCCTCTGCCTCCTGAGTGCTGGGACTAAAGGTGTGCACCACCACACCCGGCTCCCTGGCTTTTTTTATTTCTTTTACTTTGAGCACATAAAAGATGCCATGTTGGGGCTCCTACATGGAAGCCAGTTATCTTAACAAGAAGAGTAGAAAATGGGTTTGACTCCTGTTTCATTCCATAACACCTTGAGTCTCATCAGCTGAGATGCCTTATAGGTTACATAGCACTGGAACTTTCCTAGAGTGATGGCTCTGCTGTCAGGGTCTTCTGGGCTCATTCTTTCACTGACTTAATAGGATCTATGCCTAACAGAGTCCCAGTACAACTGTTTTGCAGAATAGCTATTACCCTAGAATTACTATAGCACATTGAGACATAGTTGTGCTCCCAAGTAGATAAGAACTGACCCCAATAATAAACTTTGATAATAAAGACAATAGGCTATGGTGGCTTTATTTATCTGCTGGTATTGTCAAATTACATTTTAAGCTATCGTCTGTACTTTATTCATCAGATTTGGTACCACTACATTACACTTTTGAGTATATTACACTTGAGTCAAAGTGCTCATGGGATGCACTGAAAGTAATACCAGTAAAAGACAAAATGAAAATATGTGGGGTTTCAAACTAGCTCTTGAAAGGGGAAGAGATGTGGCATAAGTTTTTTTCAACAGCAAATCATGTTTGGGTGCTTTTAGCAATGTTACCAAAGTCACATGAAGGACATCTATCTACAAAGGTTATGACTACAGAAGTCAAAATGTACTAACAAGTTGATGGTCAGAAAACAGTATCCTAATTTTATAAATATCTTTAAAGCATCACACCTAGGCCTTTTTATTGTGTGCTGTTAGGCAATGGAGAAGTGCTGGATGAACTTTGAAATGATGGCCACAGGAGGGGATGACAAAAGTGCTAGGGTGTGGTAAGGTAGACAGTCTGCCTGGTAAATGGGAAAGCAAGGCAGACCCTATCAAACCTGTCTTTGAATAGTCACATAAACTGTCACTAATTATTAAAAATCTTAACAGTAGAAAATACTTGGGAGTAACTCTGTAATTACCTGGTTTCTACGAACTTTTTAAAGTATTTTTCCAAGCAATCCTTGATAGTATTCGTGATTTCTTAATTACAGAAGAAACTGCACATAGAGCTCATGGCTGGCAGAGGTATCAAAGATGGAGCCACTGTTTGGTGAAACACAAAACCTCAAATCTTTTTCAGGCACTTTCTTGAAAATTTTGATTATTGCTCTTTCTACATACCTGCCTTGTACCTAATTTCTCTCTACTTCAGAAAATGATTTCTTGACCACCGGCCTAGAGAACAGATCTCAGTGTAGACCTGAGACAGATGAGGCAAAGAGATTGCTGCAAATCTGGAATTTTGTAGTCCTACAGGATAGGTGACCGACTACAGACCAGGGCCTGGCAGAGTGAGCAGCTTCCAGCTTAGAGCTTCCCCTGTGCTAGAGACCTTTTTGAAACTTGTTATTGCTGGGGACTAGGTGCCGCTCCTGGCTATCTTGCTGTGAACTCGGGAAACTACCTGCAAGTCCTGGGCAGCGCTGAGTCCAAAATAAGACAACTGTATTCATGTGCTTATCAGTTCAAATTCTTCCAACCTCTAAAAATTCTAGAGTATTCTCTCACCTAACACTCTAAAGGGCTTGTGTCAAGAACCTAAGCTGTTAATTTTTTTTTGGGGGGGGGGTCAATCTCCACACCACTTGTAGTTGTTTACCTAATACATTCTTTTGCAATCTCTGCCAAGATCTCATACAGCTGGACTTTCCTATGTCTGTAGAAAGTGATGTTCTTTATATGCTTACTTTAATAAACAACAGAAAAAGGGTTTCTCCCAAAATGTTTACTGTCACATTCAAAGTACAAAATCAAATACACAGATCCAGATACATGAACTACAGAAAAACATCTGTATGTATCCACTGTTTAGGCCTAATACCTATCTATACATTCTAATTTATCCATCAACACTATTTGAAAAGCAACATATTTTTAAAACAACAAAGTTATCAGTAACACTGTCAAATGTAAATTGTTTTCATGTTATCACTTGAAAGGCTAGAAACAGGTATTTTGTAGAAATAAGAGAATACCTAAGATAAATCCAGCTTGTAAGAGTTCTTGAAAACACATTCTATATGGTTAATGAGCATGTCAGTCAGTCTTTGGACATATTAAAGCTTAAAGAAACTGAGTTATAGGAAGACGCTTTGTGAAGATAACTGCATTCAAGAGTTTGGATTCAGGTTTAAATGCAAATAAAGGATCTGATGTTGTGTAGTAGCACATTTCCAAGTCACATTTCTGTGGAGTGAAAACAGTGGGTTGCTCGTGAACATCCAATAGCCGCTAACTGGTCGTGGAGGTGCCTGACTTTTAACACTGTAGGTTATTCCACCATATCAGGGAACACTTCTTCAGGAGAAGCAGAAATCTTAAGACTTGCCAAATACAGAATACATATCACTGAACACAGAAATGTCCTACTCATCATAGAGACTAAGTTACAATAGCTTCTTTAGGATGTCATCTATCTTACCCACAGACCAGAGATATTAAACCTCAGATGCCTAAACATCCCTATTCCAGGCACAGAACTTGAGTGCCTACTCCCATTAACTGGGAACTCACAGACACAGGTCACCATCAGCAGACATATTAACGGCTTCACAGTAGCAACACAAAATGCACTCAGTGTCACATTTCCATAGGAAAGGTTATACATAACTATACACTTCAGTCTTGAAATGTGGACCCAAAAAAGCATTCCATTTTCAGTAACCAACTAATTCAGTGGTGCTCCCAAATCTTCAAATCCTAACTTAGCAGAGCAAAAGTCCCTCCTTAGCTGCCAAGCGCTGGCGGTGAACTTTGTCTTGCTGCAGCTCTTCATGATTTGGGTGCCAGAGTTTCATGATGATCCTTTCAATGTTAAGGGCATACACAGTGTGTGTAGGAATAACTTCCCTGTGTACCTGGGAATTAAAAATTAGCATGTCTCCAGTTATACTTCAGTAAACTTACTTTTCCAACATATAAAATATGAGGTGTTTTGTGTTGCTGTTGTCTGAAACAGGGCCTTCCTGTAACCCTGCTTCTGCCTCCCAAGCACTGGAATTAAAGGCATGTGCCACCACACCTGGCCTATGAGTTGTATTTTTAAAATTTTCATGTCTTAGATACCCTACACATTTTAAATCAGAACCTAATAAATCCCAATTCATATAATAAGGAAACAATGAAATAAAATGGTTCTGTGGACCAGCGAGATGGCTCAGAAGTTAAAAGATATTTGCCATGCAAGCCTGACAACTGGCGTTCAATCCCAGAATTCAGCAAAGTTGGTAGGAGAGAAATTACTTCACAAACTTGTCCTCTGAACTTCAACACACCCACCCACACGCACACTAATAATGAAATTTTAAAATAAACTTTAAAAAAAAAAGGTTCTGAAATAGGAATATGAAAACGGGATTATTTTGCTGTTTCTATTGTGTCTGCTTTTTTCAATGAGAGGCAAAGAAGGAAGGAGGTCAATTAGGAAGAACCACAGGGGTTAGGATTTGAGAAATGAGGCTGCTACTGATGGCTTTAAAAACAATTCTGAAAAGTCTAAAAGTGGAAAAGCTAGAAAGTATCTTTGTAGACTAGAAGAATTGTTACCATATCTATAAGTATCAATAAACTGGAGTTGGAGAGATGGCTCAGCAGTTAATTAAGAGCACTGGCTGTTCTGTGGAGGAACCAGGTTCATTTCCCAGCACCCACACACAGCTAAACAACCATCTGTAACTCCAGCTCCAGGGGAATCCGATGTCCTCCTCTGACCTCCACAGGCATCACATGATATGGGTGCACTTACATACATGCAGGCAATACACTCAAACACATAAAATGAAAAAAATATCAATAAACTTTAAGGAGTCAAGTAATACCTGCAAAGCTTCAAAAAGGTCATACATGTTCACTGGTGGCAAAGATGCAGGTAGAGTGTCCCCAGAGCAAGCCAGCAGGAATGCAGCCTGCTGCTCAGCATCATCAGGGGGTGGGTGAGAAGCTGGATTCTGACTGGCACAGGGAGCAGAAAAGGCTGGAGGGCTGAAAAACAATTTTTTTTAAAGAAATATTCCTAGTATCTACAGTAGAGACAACTGAACAACAGAATAGACAACAGAGGCTTGCTGGAACACACCCATGTTAAGTATCTTTAAATGAAGCAGAAACCTACCACTGTATATATGAATAGCATACAACTGTGATTTTTAAAGGGAGCCCATCTACTAGGCTGGAAACAAAGTATAGGACAACTCCGTTTACTCCCCTTCCCACACTAATATATCCACTTGTTAGGGATACTCAGCCCAACTGTTTCCTGAGCCCTTAAAGAGTTTTCAGTTATAAAAGGAGTAGACTATATAACCAAGGAATATGAAACTAAAAGCAAATTCTTTGAAGAAAGCAAACAGTACTGGTGTTAACAAGCTTAAAAAAATAAACAGGAAGAAAACTACAGCACAAAAGCAGCATAGGCAAAATGGATCTTGCTAACTTCCTAAAATACAGCTAAATAGAAAGCAAGCTGAGAAGTCAGATGGTTTTTATATCAGAGTACAGTAGATAGTCTATACAGTTTCCAAGAATATACAAAAAGGTAAAACAAAAGCAGCAGTAACTCTGTGGATCCAAAGCATTAGACAAAAGCAGCCTTGTTAGAGTAACAGCTCACCAGGGACTGGCCAGCAGGGAATGTGGGGCGCCAGGGCAAACCTGCACCAGAGACATTGTTCCCAGCATCCACTTACTACAAGGAGCCACATTTTTCATTTTTCTCTAGAGAGAATAACTTAAACATGAAGACAGTTCCAAATAGATATACCTGAATGGTAATGAACTGTCATAGGCAGAAACCTTAATAAGGACCCCAGTTTAAAAAGGTACTCATAAGGGGCTGGAGAGATGGCTCAGTGGTTAAGAGCACTGGCTCCTCTTGCAGAGGACCAGGGTTCAATTCCCACCACCCACATAATGGCTAATAACCACCCGTAACTCCAGTTCCAGGGGATCCTATGTCCTCTTCTGACCTCTGTGGGCACTACACCACATGGGTGCACTTACATACAAGTAGGCAATATACACATAAAATTTAAAATATATATAAAATATTTTAAAAATATAAAATGGTACTCATGACAATGGGCTTGTGACTCTTGCAAGGTCTCCAGAGCCTAGGAATGGCCACTGTACCTTCTCTTCCATATGCTGTCAGCTCTATTGCTCTGCCTACCTCTCTCAGCTCTCCTCACACCTGCCTTCCTGTTATTTCTGCCACTGCCACTCTTGCCAGCTCTCCCAATTTTACTGGAAACTGTAGAGGCTATCTACTGTACTCGTCACCTCTTTACTCCCTTTTCCCTAGCCAGATAACCAGACACAGGTTCCAGCCCTTAGTAACCATGAGGAAAACTGTATTGCTTTTTCTTTCCCAAAGAGTTAAAATTCAGTGGCAAAGACAGCACACAGATAAAGGTAATATAGGCCAACTGATAAAAGGGTGACTCAAGAACATAAGACAGGCCTGGGAGTCCTGAGTCGACTGAGGATACAGACCACATCTGTACAAGATACCAACAACAGCTGGAAGACAGGGCACAGGCCAGTACCTGGAACTACAGCTATTACAGTCAGATAAGGATATATGGACAAACACCTACCAGTCCTCTTCCTCCACAACCAAAAACCGAAGTCCTGAACCAACAATCTAAGGCCATATTTCTAGATGACAGCAGGCTACCTCCTCACCAACCCCAGGAGGGACTCCATCACACATCAGAAAGTAAGGGGCATTCACATTAAACAATCACCTCTGATTAAAAAAAAAAATACTAATTCACTCTAAAGCATGCAAACATGCCACTTAAGGAAATAACTGTGCTGCTGTCAAAGGAACTTGAATATTGCAGAAACACAATAACCAATTATTTAACAGTGGCCTATTAACATATGATCAGTGTGACCAAACAGCAAAAACACAAGAAATCACGCACCTTTCGATGAGGTTGTTGTAAGCCACCACACTATTCTTCAGGTACGGCTCTGGGGTCACATTACTACCAAAGGCATATTTAAAATGGCCATCTCGTAACCGGTAAGCTTTCCTTCTTGACACAACTGAAGTAAGTATATCTTTGAGGTGATTCTGCAAAAACAGAAGACAAGTATCAGAATCTCCTTTAAAGTTAACTATAAAACTTCCATTTACAAAAAAAGTCTATAGTATTTAGGTGGAGATATGGAACAGGCTAGCATATGCTAGAACTACACAATGCTCATGAAAGAGCCCACAACCATTCCAGCCAGGGAAAGGCGGCAACATGGGAATGGGGACATGCGTACCTTTATCTCTTTAAAAAATGGCCCTCTCTGTATGTAATTTTCCTAATTTAAAGTGGAATGTGTTGAGTCTGCAGTGCTAGGGACTGAACTTGACATGGGGCCTCACACATGGGAGGCCAGTGCCCTACGACTGCGTATATATTTTTTTAATGTGAATATAATTTTTTTTAAGTATTTTATTATTTGAACACTTCATACAATATATTTTGGGGTTTTGTTGTTTTGTTTTTTAATTTTTCATTGTATTTTTGTGTATTTCATACAGAACAGCTTAATCATCTTTGTGCCCCCTTCCCCTGTGGCACCCTCCCATAGCTCCCCCACTGAAGTTCATACATTCTGTCATTTGTGTTGAGGCCTATTGTGTAAAGTTAGTATCCCCAGATGTCATGCAGTCCAAGTACATCCACTGGGATCTAGTCAGCCTATCTAGAGTCCCTCTCTTCAAGAAGATCTGCTCTTCCTCACCCAGTAGTAGTCAGCTGCCAATAATTCTTTAAGATTGGGGCTTGTTCATTTCCACAGTTCTGTACTGGGTTTTTGTCTGCCTAAGTTTGCATGGGTCTTGTGCATGCTGACACCATTGCTGTAGGTTTGTATGAGAAGGGTCCCAGGCGCCTGTTAGGACCATTTCTGCATGGTCAGCCCCTTCCTCCTTGGCTCTTACAATCTTTCTGCCCCCTCTTCTGCAATGGTCCCTGATCCCTGGGTGGGTGGATTTTAATACAGGAGTCCTGTCCAAGGACCCACACTCTACAGACTCTTATTCTCTGTGTTTTGGCCATTTGTGGCCTTTCGTGTGGCCTCTGTGTTCCTGGCCCTCTGTTGCATGAGGGAGCTTCACTGGTAGGAGTTGAAAGATGCATTAGTGTTCTCTTCATCCCTTGTTCTATGTTCCATGAGCCTTAGGTGTAGAGGTTACATCCTAGATGTGCCACTTAGACTTTGGCAATTCACAATCTCTGTGTGTGGAACTCTGTAATTATCTGTCTCTTTAAAAAGAAGCTTTTTGCCGGGAGTAGTGGCACATGCCTTTAATCGCAGCACTCAGGAAGCAGAGGCAGGAGAATCTCTGTGACTTCAAGGCCAGCCTGGTCTACATATAGTGAGTTCCAGGATAGCTACAGGGAGACCCTGTCTTCAAAAAAAGACAAAAAAAGTATCTTTGATGGGTGGTGACAGGGATACTAGTTATAAATTTAAGGATCCATATTTTGCACATAGAAGAAATTATATTTACATTTGTCTAGGGATATGACAGCCTTGGAGTTTTCTCTAAAAATCTATTACCTCTCTAGCTATGTGTATTTGGCTAGGTTTATAGTACCACACATCAGTTTTCTCCCATTGAGTGGGCTTTAAGTCCAATTAGGTCGCTGTTGATTATCCCCAAGATAAAAGTGCCACTAGTGCACCAATGTCATTTGCTGTGCTGGTCATTGATGTGATTTTTAGGCCTTGAAGCTGGAGTTGGACTATCAATTGATATTCTTCTCCCTTAGCAGCTTGTATAATGCTCTCCAAAGTTATGAGAGTTAGCCTTCAGGGAAGGTGGCTTCCAGGTCAGTTCCAGCTCCATTACTCCAAATCCTGTGTCCAAAGTATGTCCTATCTTCAGGAATAGTATCTTACCATCAAATTCTGGGAGGCAATCAAGGCAATAGCCTGTGTAATTTTGGGAGTCTCTTGGACTACCCTGGCCACAACTCAAAAGAAGGTTTCTCCTGTCTGGCACTGTTTCTTGTTATGTAGTTTTTACTCACAGATTCATGTAGAGATACTGTATGTGTAATTTTTTAGTAGGTTTTTGGACTAATACAATTCCCTCTGGTTTTTTTTTAAACTACCATTTATCTCTCCTCTTTCTCTTCCTGTCTTATCCTCCCTCCCCACCCTCCCCAATTAAAGTGACCCCATTTTCCCCACTTCTCCATTTTATTTTGTAAGTGTCTCCCTGAAGTTGGCTCCTCTCAAAAATTATTCCAGTACAGTAAGCTATTCTTTAAGAGGCAAATGACCTGGAAACATGACTTAAATGTTACAAACATTTAAAGATTTGATATTCATTGGTTATCAAAATCCTTGCATCAAATTCTTATAAGAATTTTTGCTCTCTTAAAAGTCAAACAAACGTGCACGGTATATACACACATAGATAAACAGACATATGCATACACACACACACACTATCTCTTCACCTTTAGCAGAGCCAAGTACTAAGAGAGGGTTAGGAGTATGTGGGAACATAACTAGTCCCAGCATACTGTTATAGGGGAGCCAGGATTAGGTTGGGTATTTCACTTATACCAATAGGACTATTTTCTATCAAGACATTCTATGCAATTTAATAGGGATTTTCATACAGAATTCATTTAATGTTTTAACTCCAAGAGACAACTATTATCTTTGGCATGTAGATGAGTCCCAGAGACTTGAAAAGAATTATGCTTAGTTACCTGAGTACTGTCTGGTAGCAATGCAATGTGTATTTTGTCAAATAACTAAATGAAAAAATGAAATTCTGGGTTGAGACAATCCCACTGTTTGGATGCCCAGATTAATGCTCTTTAAATGTAGTACTATCACAAAAACAAGTGACTTGAGCTACCAAGTTTACTAATCTCATTTCTCTCCCTAAAAACTGTTCTTGTAGCTGTGTGTGGTGGCATTTGCCTTTAGTCCCAGCAGTTAGGAGGGCCTTTAGTCCCAACAGTTGGGAGGCAGAGGCAGGTAGATCTCTGTGAATTCAAGGCCAGCCAGGACTACAATGTGAGATCCAGCCTCAAAAAACAACAACAACAACAAAAAAGCTGGGAATGGTAGTACACATCTTTAATCCCAGCAGCTGAGAGGCAGATCTCTTTGAGACCAGAACAAATTTGGTCTATAAAGCATGTTCCAGGATAGCTGGGACTACAGGGAGACTGTCTCAAAAAACAAACAACAACAACAAAAATAACAACAAAAACTTGTTCTTGTGCTGACAAACATCAGATCAAGGAGAAGGATGCCACCAAAGCCTTCTGAAAAACCTTGGTTAACTGAAGCCAATTTCTTTGGACTGTGAAGTGTTTCTCCTTCAAAAGAAAACAACTTGCAAGTGGCATTTTGGTTCCTTTCTGGTAACATCAGCTTTAAACAACATACACAAACTCATCAGGATCAATCTATAGTTACTTCTGCCATCAGTAAACAAACCTCCACAGCATAGACGACAGCAGAAACAGCATCCTCAGTGACGTTGTCCAGCCCATGCTCATAGGCAGTCACAATCATTCTCCCTTCCAGCTGACCCCGAGTGGGAAGCATCATCGTGTGGGAACAAAGTTTCAAGTCATCATCATCTTGGGGATCCTTTGCCACAAACTGCTGCGCTCCAGAGAGGGGATTCTGAGGCTGGAATCTATGCTGAGTAAGAAAACTTCAAATTATTCACTTCAGTGGCAAGTAATAAAACACAAAGAAGTCCATTTACTGGACCTGAGGACCTATAAATTAAGACCGCCAGAACCATGTCACAAGGGCATTAAAACTTAAAGGAAAAAGTAAATCATGCACAAGTCATAAATTCATACCCATTAAGTGATAATAATGAATTAACATGAATTTGGGGAACAACTGCAGTATACACAGCATTTTACTCTTTTGGATATGGTTTGTTTTGGGGGGAATAGTCTTGCTATATATAACAAGTTCAGGCTGGCCTCAATCTCAGCAATACACCTCTGCCTCCCAAGTGCTGGGATTACAGGTATGCACCCAATGCCCAGCTCACAGCCATTTATTATAGTCAATTAATACTTTGGTGGCCACAAGATGTGTGGCGCTGTGCTAAAAAGAACAATTAGGGAGGAGATCATACACAGAACTACATAAAAAAAAAACCAAAATCATAGTTTAACAGTAAGTAGGTTTTAAAAGTATAGCATATAACTCACGTTTCACTAAGACTTAAAAAGTATAACCAAAGGGTAGCTCTAACAACAAATATTCTGAAGTAATACTGCACGACATTAACTGTTCGCTATCATTTTCTACTCACAATTTTCAGCAAAGCCTATCTAAGGCATAATCACATGATCTAAAATGGTTTTATTCAACCTTCGTTCATTCATAAAATCTCAGCATTCCTCTGGGAATTCAGAGAGCCCTTTCACCTTTTCCATCATAACTGGGAAATTTGTTACTGGTACATGGTTGAAGCCCGACAGAAAAGATTTTGTAGTGAAGACAGCTGTCCATGTTTGTATTATAAAAACAATATTGGCACCTTTCCATCTTCCAATGATAAAGCTCTGTTTTATATTCTGCACATAGTTTTAAACCAAGTATGCCTCTCTGGAGACACCCTTCAAATTTAATATAAATACTGACATAAATCACAGAGCAAAGATGGAAAGAAACAGATACTTGTTGATATTAGTCAATAAAGCTAGCAATATCCAGGTAAGCCTAGAAAGAGACACTTTCGGAAAACTTCTTTTCCTACATATAAACATGTTATTCCAAAATGTTTACATGTTCTATAGCCAAATGCTTCATGGCTCCTGTACTGATGCCAAAAGGCCCAGAACCTAGCCAAGCACCATCAGAAGCCCACCAGAGGCTCCAGGCTGCTCTCAAATAGATGCTTTTGATCTGAGGAACTATTCATTCAGGAACATACTGAAAAGAAGGAACACAAGATAGCTTTGAATCACTGGCAAACCTTTAGGTACTAACACAACATTAATATTAAAATTTAACAAAAACTGTAAATGTTCACACAATCTTTGAGTAGCTTTTCTGTCTAAATTCTTTAATGCTACAAGTATTTTAATATTTAAAAATTAAAGCTACTTTATCATACTAGTATTTAAACCCATGACTATCAAGATCTATTGAGAATGACCTACATCAAATTTCTGACGAACAGAAGAAAGCTTTTTCTTGCCCTTGGGTTTCCCAGGCTTGGCTGCAGAGCCCCCTGTCCAGGGCAAAGATCCAGCACCCTCTATGAGACAGAAAAATAACAACCACAGTGAAAATAATGACAGTCACTAATTCTCTTTCATTTGGGGCTAAAAAGAATGGAATACTCAAATAACGAATGCTCAGATTTGAATCTTTATGCTTCTCTAAGCAAAATTATAAATTCTCTCAAATCACATTTTTTTTAGCTATAATCAAAAAAATTTTTCAATATTTTATTTATTCTTATTTTATGTGTATGAATGTATTGCCTGCATGTAGGTAAGTGTACCTATGTTGTGCAATGTCAGATCCCCTGGAACTGGAGTTATGGACAGTTGTTAGCTGCCATGTGGGTTCTGGGATTCGAACCCAGGTCTTATGCAAGAACAGTCAGTGTTCTGAACTGCTGAGCCATCTCTCTAGCCCCTCAAAAAAATTTTTAGTCAGGGACTCCCTGTAGCCCCAGCTGTTCTGAAACTCACTATGTAGACCAGGCTGGCCTTGAATGCATAGAGATCTGTCTGCCTGTGCCACCACACCCGGTTCCATAATGAAATTTTTTTAAGAAAGCAAAACTCTTAGACTTTTTATGTGTGTGCAAATATTCATGCATATGTGTACACATGCATGTGAAGACCAGAAATTGATATGCAATATCTTCCTCAATCACTTCTCCACCTTATTTTTTATGACTGGCTCTCTCCCTGAACCTGGAGCTTGCCATTTGGCTAGACCAGCTACCCAGGGTGCATGTCTTTATCTTCCTAGCAACAAGATTATAGGTAGACACTGCAGTGCCCAACTTTTATCTGGGTTCTAGAGGCTCAAGCTCAACTCTCCATACTTTTGTAGCAAGCTGTTTACTGAAGGAGCCACATCCCCAGTCCTTCATTTATTATTACTTTTATTTATTTGTATGAGTATATTGCCTGAAGTGTACCCAGGTCATGCCATGCCCAGAAGTCAGAAAAAGGCATCAGATCCCCTGGAACTAGAGTTAGACAGTTGTTAGCTGCCATGTGGGTGCTGGGAACCAAACCCTGGTCCTCTGCAAGAGCAACCAGTGGTCTTAGCTGCAGAGACATTTCTCTAGCCCCCTAGCCCCTTATTTTTAATTAATGTTTTTGGGTGTTTTGTCTGTTGGTAGTATTGTGTATCTATCTCCTCTCTTCTAAAACCTAACTAAAAATAAAATGGCACAGACCCACAAATGGTTTTTTTTAAAAATAAGTCTCAACAAGTTTTAAGGTAGACTGACAAAGCAGTGACTTACAATAAAAAAAAAAAAATTAACATATGGCCCCTTGTTCAAGAATTAGGAATGTTAAGAGAGCAATATCAAGTAGTGAACCATGTGCAGGGCCTTCTGTGCAAATGCAGTCCACTCAGTCACTTCCATGCGTGGAATGGCACACAGCAGGGTACACTACAGATGGGGGAGGGAGGCAACTCTTTTAAGTAACATTCAACAAAATGTCTGGTATCTGCTAAAGTAGGTAGTATGGATGTTGGCACCCTAGAATAAAGCTTTCTGCATACTGGTATTTGGAGAACTCCTACTTCAATGTCTGACTCTCGGTCCACTCACTCTAAAGCAGAGTATCCACAGTTTTCTCCTTCACTCTTAACAATGCAAAGGACAGTAACGAATAGGCATTTGATCATATTTGGTACATGATAGCTAGTAATAGTATTAGTAGCCCTTTCAACTACCATAATGAAATATCTGAGGCAAGCTGGCTTAAAGAGCTTTTAAGCTCACAGTTGTAGAGATTCAAGGGGGGATACCATCATCAGCTCTCATAAGAAACTTATGGCCAATGAAAGACACACTCAAGGAGGTGGAGAGAAAATCACATGAACAAACGGGAAGCCAGAGATAATCAGGGGTCTGGCTTGTTCTTGTAACAACCTGCTTGCTCTCTCAAGCTCAGGATAGTTAGGCATGGTGGCACATGTCCATAATCCCAGCATTTGGAAGGTTTGAAGCAAGAGGATCACAAGTTAAAAACCAGCCTAGGCTGCATATCAAAGCTCGGCCCGCTACCCCAAAAAAAAACCTCTCAAAAGTACCATGTATTAAAACTCTCCCTCAAAAAAAACAAAAATAAACAAACAAACAAAACTAACCAGGAGTCAATGACACATTCCCTTCTGCTTCTGAGGATGGCTCCTCCAATGCCTTCAACCTCTTGTTATGTCCTGCACCATAAAGGTTCCACTACCTCACCACCACACTGAGATCCAAGATTCCAATACTTACACCAGTGGGTGACAACACATCCAAGCCAGAGCACATGGTAAATAAAAATTAAAAAAAATAAATAAATCAAGCTACCTGAACACCCAACAAAGGGAAGGTAAAAAAACTAACACACTTCCATGTGGTACCTTCATAAAAGTGTGAGAAGACAGATATCCATTAAACAGGAAGAGGATGCTATCAGAAAAACTGTGAATTAAAAAAAACATCAAATAGAAAGACTAAACAGCCAACGGAACCTCAAAGGACACACAGCAGGACGGCAAAGAGACAGACACTTAAGCTAACAGATCAAAGACAGATTCAAACACTGATGAGGTGCTACCTAAGACTCACCATCATAAGAACAAAACAACAGAGGATGCCTTGGGATTAAGTGGACACATGAGAAGATTTTATCAGAAAAGCTGTGTTGCTGCTTTTCTTGTAAACTCTTCACATAGTGTTCAATATAAAATTTTATATATATATATATATATACACACATACACATGTAAGCTCATTACGTTTGGAGAAAACACATTCAAAATAGAAATTTAAAAAGTATTCCAAAAATAATTTTAAGATTTTTAATTATTTTAAATTATATGTTATCTGTGTGTAGGTATGTGCACATGAGTGCAGGTGCCTGAGGAGGCCAGAGGCATCGGATCCCCTAGAGCTGGAGTTACAGGCAGTTGTGAGCCACCGGATGCAGCTGCTAGGAACTGAACTTGGGTCCTCTGCAAGAACAGTATGTGCTTTTAAATAAAGAGCCATCTCTCCAGCCCCACCACCAAAATAATTTTAAAAGGGAAAAAAAACCACCCATTATTAAAACATCCATTATTATAGTAACATGTCATTGCCATTTTAATAGAGGTTTGGAGGGAAAGAAAAGTTGTTACTAAAGCTTTGAAACCCACTTCTGAAAATGAAACTGGATGCTAGATACTGACAAGAAAGTGGAATGAACTCATAGAGGTCACAGAGGAGCAGACCTGCAAACTCAGAGTTCAGGGGCCGCTGCTGTGCAGACAACAAGGCACGAGGAGGCAAAGTCGGGAAGGGTGACCCACAGGAAAGACGAGGTAGGTGTTAGGCAGTGCTTCAGACTGGTTTTGATCCAAGACTTGCATTTAGGTAGATAAGGCCTCAGCCAAGTTTTGGAATTTTTGTTTTGTTTTCATATCTATTACAAAGACTAACATTACCCTGAAGAGTTGTGAAGGTTAAGCTGTCTACATGCTACAGTTGCTCAAGAAACAGTTATTATTAAAAATCTTATTTCCTGCCTTCCTTGGAAAAATAGAAAACAGGGCTGGCAAAATGACTCAGGTAAATATGCCTGCTGCCCAGCCTGATGACCCAAGTTCAATACCTGGACCCCACATGGTGGAAGGAGAGAATCAATCACCTCCCACAAGTCATGGCACGTGTACTCACACACATACACATATACACACACAAACACAAAAGAAATAAATGTAAAAACAAAAATAAAATAGAAAAGTAAAAAACAACCCATCTGGATAATACAAAATACCACCTATTTCCTGATTTCCGTTTAAGATGATCAGAATCACTCTAGACACTAATTAATTGATCTACTGCAGATTGTGACACATTCCTTTAATCCCAACACTCAGGAGGCAGAGGCATAGGAAGATCTTTGGTAGGCGGATCGCTACGAAATGAGGGCCAGCCTGTTCTACAAAGCAAGTTCCAGCTGGGGCTACAAAGAGACCTTGTCACAAAACAAAACAAAACAAAACAAAACAAAACGCAAAAAACAAAACAAAAACAACAAAAAGAATGACTTACTCTATACAGACAGGAAGTGCCATGAACCTCAGTTTTTAACAAAGTCTAAGACAACTTTTATCATGAGGGAAGTTGGCAAAGTACTTAATTTTTTGGTTTGCCTTATTAAAATAAAATGGTTGTAAGATGTACATGTTGTAAATTAATCTACCACTCAGACACCCACAAGTTAAGGAATGTTTTTATGTATAACCCTTTACGTTTAGCCCTCACCAACCTCCCTACCAATTTGCCAAACACAGACAGTGAGCTCAGGCCTGCCAGGTGCCGTTCTGCTTAAATACAGGTCAAAGCCTAGGTTCTAGCACAGGTGATTCCTGCCATGTAATCCATCTCCTGGATCTTCTGAACATACTCTCCTAAGACCAAGTACCCTCTCCTCATTGATTTCTGCTTCTGAATCCTCACTTCCCACCCTCTGTCTCATTTAAGTCATCTAGCTGAGTGGAGACTAAAGACCAAAAATTAACGTACATACAAGGAAATCAACTGTTTTCAAAACAAAGTTCTGTAAATTAATATTCACCTACATAATAATTTTTTTTTTTGGTTCTGGCTAATTCAAAGGACATTTCCTTTGCAAACCCAATGGTGGCTTTGCCACGTGACCCACACTGGAAATGTGCCCATTCCCTTACCTGGCGTAGAAACCAAGATCTGACAACGAGTGAGAATGGCCAGGAGGAAATCGTTGTGAGAATGGACTGAAAAGGGAAGGTTGTCACAGGTCAAACACAGGACATTTCTAACATAAGAAAACATTAATTTAGCTTGCAAATATTTTAAATGCTCCCTTCTCTGCCATTCTTTACACTTAATATTCGTGTTATTAGAATTATCTTATGTGATGGTTTGAATGATAATGTCCCCCATAGGCTCCAAGTATTTGGACAGTCTGTCCCCAGATGGTGGCGCTGTTTTGGGAGGTTTTAGAAAGTGTGGCTATCCTGGAGGAAGCACGTCACTAGGGGTGGGCTTCAAGAGTTCTTAAGCCTTGCCAGATCTCCAGTCGCTCTCTTGTTTCCTGTGCCTGCTGGAAGATGTAGAACTTAGCTTCTGCTCCTCTTCTCCAGCTACCTCTGCCACCATGCCTCCCCACCAAGACAGACTGTAATTCCCCTGGAACCATAAGCTCAAATAAATTCTTCCTTCTATAAATTGCTTGGGTCAGTGTTTCTATCACAGCAACAGAAAAGTGATTAATACAGTGATTGGTACCAGAGAGTGGGCTGTTGGCTGTGAAGAACCTGATCATGTGGGGTTTTGGGGGAATGTGGAAGATTTTGGAAGTTTGGGCTAGAAAAATGGTTGACTGCTGTAAACAGAGCTTACCAGGCCATTCTAATAAACACCTGGAAGAAAGTAGTGCTGAGAACAATGTAGTTCCAGAGGGAAATAAGGACTTAAGCAGCACTTGGGATATTTTGGCAAAGAGTCTGGCTGGAGTCTGCCCTTGACCTAAAAGCTTGCCTGAGGCTAAGTTGAAAAGCAATGGACTAATTTCTCTGGCAGAAGACATTTCAAGACAGCCTGATGTTGAAATGGTGGCATGGATATTAATGGTGAATATTATGCAGATCTACAGTGAAAAAGAGCAAATGGGCCAGAAAGAAATACAGTTTGGATTGAAAAAGAGCACTATGAAGATAAATGTTGGAGCCTTGGCATGTGCTGGAGAAGATCCTTTTGATAAGGAGATTAAAGTGATTAAGGAGGGGCCTAGAGATTCGGACTTAAACGTGAAGAGAGTGCCTGCAGGACAAGACCACGCCCAGTTAAGCCTCCAACTTGTGAAAGGAAAATGCTGCAGGGACCACTGAAGAGAAAAGCGTCTAAAATGGATAAAGCAGGCTGGAGTCCATCCCACAATTGCAGCCAAACTTTGGTGCTGGCTTTAGAGGCACAAAAGATGTGAGAGTGAAGGGGTCATCGGTTCATTCTCTGAGGTTTCAGAGAGCCTGGTTTCAGAAGGCCGCTGAGGACAGACAGCATGCAGCAGGTGTGACCCTGCATAAAGAAGGCCCTCATAGGCCATTGCATGAAGCTGTGAAGATAAAGCCTGGCTGGCAATGGAGACCACAAGAAGACACTCATGATGCCAGAGCTGTGAGGCATCTGCCAAGACCTGCAATGGAGCTACTGGATTTGGTGTTTGCCCTGCTGGCTTTCGGTCTTGTTTTGGTCCGGTATTTCCTTACTATGCCACCATTCCTCCCTTTTGGAATAGTAATGTGTATTCGGTTCCACTGTATATTGGGAATATGTAATTTGTCTTTTGATTTTATAGAGGATTACAGTTAAGATATTTACCTGAGTCTCAGAAAAAGACTGGACTGTGGGCTTTTAAATAGTATTGAGACATAGTATTGAGACTGATAAAGACTATGGAGACTTTTAAAGTTGGACTAAATGCATTTTGCATTTTATATGGTCATGAGCCTATGGGGGCCAGGGGCTGGAATGTGATGGTTTGAATGATAATGTCCCCCATAGGCTCCAAATATTTGGACAGTCTGTCGCCAGATGATGGCGCTGTTTGGGGAGGTTTTAGAACATGTGGCTGTCCTGGAGGAAGCACATCACTGGGGGTGGGCTTAGAGAGTTCTTAAGCCTTGCCAGATGGCCAGTCACTCTCTTGTTTCCTGTGCCTGCTGGAAGATGTAGAACTTAGCTCCCACTCCTCTTCTCCAGCCACCTCTGCCATCATGCCTCCCCGCCAAGATGGACTATAATTCCCCTGGAACCGTAAGCACAGATAAATTCTTCCTTCTGTAAACTGCTTGGGTCAGTGTTTCTATCACAGCAACAGAAAAGTGACTAATACATCTTACATACCATTAAAAACAAAATGCTTTCGTTTACTATAAACCTAGGAAAACTTGAAAACAATGAAGTAACTCTACCATTATCCTGTGTGAGCAGTCTATGTGCTTCGAGGTCAAACTCTTCTTTGCTGATCTTCTGCTTGAACCACAACTTTAAGTTAGCCCAGTATCTGTAGAAGCAGAAATAACATTAAGAACCACAGGTTTTGCCTTTGCACCCAAGTTTACCTTAGCTGCTCCCACTCTCAGGAAAGGAAAATTTTGCAATCCCCAGTGTCACTAACTGAAGTGTGCCCAGTTGCCAAAATTCCTTTGTGGGAAACTAGACCCAGTATCTCAGATGTGTCTTTGAGCCTAGGCCTATGAACATGTAACTAAATTAGGATGAAACCATTAAGGCGGTCTCTAACCCAGTAGGGTGTCCATGAGGGCACAGGGACACTCCAGACTCCTGCAGAGAGGTAATCAAGTGAGCTTGGGATGCAGAGGTGACCTGCAGGAGAGGAGCCTTAGAAGCCAGTCCCCCCAACACACTGACCTTAAACTTCTAGCCTCCAGAACTGAGACAATTAATTTCTGTGGTTTACCATCTAGTCTATGGCATTTTGTCATGGCAGGCCTACCGAGCAAATTAACATGCCCAGGAATCAGAATACCAAGAAACTTCCTTTCTCCCTGAAAGGAGGCTGACTTTTGATTCACTCAGCATGAGCCACAACTGTGCCCATCCTTCTCACTGGAGCCTTTCTGAAGGACTCCTCCCAGAGCCCCATACTTAAGGCTTAATTTTAAATGTGCATGTGCTTTATGGTCATTAATACTCATTCTGAGTGGCACATTTCCCTTCAGATGAACTCAAGTTTTAATTTAGCTAGTTGGAGAAATATTCTAAATACCCCACTGAAAACAAAATATTCACTGAGTGCAGTAATATACCACTCAGAGGCACTGAAGAGCTGCAGAGATGGTTCAGTGGCTGCTCTTGCAGAGGACTGAGGTTCAAGTCCCAGCACCCACATAGCAGCTAACAACCGTCTGTAACTCCAGTTCCAGGGGATCTGACACGATCTTCTGACATCCACTGGCACTGCACAACATGGGTGTACTTACACACATGCAGGCAATACACATATACTAAAATAAAAATAATACATATTTTTTAAAAAGAGGCACTCAAGAGGCAAAGGCAGGCAGATCTCTGTGAGCCTGGTCTACATAGCAAGTTCCAGGACAGATGGGGCTATAGGAAGACCATTTCAGAAAAGAAAGAAAGAATATTCCTAGATCCGAGAAACAGGAAGTTTGTGGTTTTAAAGTGAAACCCAGCACCTATAATAATTACTAGATAACTGGCAGCAAAAATAATTTAACCCTTTATATCTTAACAGTGTTAGAAAGAGGAGTATATGATCTTTCACATCCACAGACCTTGTTCTGGTGCTTAAGGAAGGTTCTTATTCATGCAAGAGAATTAAAAATTGTTCAGTAAATTTCTTTTTTTCTTTTTCTTTGTTGGTGTGCTGTGGAGTGTGCACACATCAACGTGTGTGCGAGAAGAGGCCAAAGGAGGACATGGGGTGTCCTGCTCTATCACTCTCCCTCTCATTCCTTTGAGATGAGGTCTCTCACTAAGCCTCTCACTAAACACCTTGCTTTGGAAGGCTGACGACCAGAGAGCCCCAGCTACCTTCCTGTCTGTACCCCTCCCACAGTGCCTAGGTTACAGAGGATCCCAGCTATGACTTGCTGTTAATATGTGTGCTGAGGAGTCACACCAGGTCCTCACACATGCAGAGCAAACAGTCTTGCCCACTGAGCCATCTCTCCAACCCAAACACCATGGCTTTCAATTTAAGCTCATTTACCCACTAATGTTCATTTAAGTTCCTAACAGGAAAAAAAAAGACCCACGCAAGATGGTTTCCTATGCTCACCTACCCATGAAATTTCTGTGTGCAGTAGCCTCAGCAAGTAGCCCTTATGTCACTGACGATGCAGACGTAGAATGAAGAGCTTCAGACTGGGGAGCTTTTATTTCCCCCAGAAGAAAACCCACAACTTCTACAGGCTCTCAAAATGGCACATGACCTATTATACAGCCATCTTTCAGGCCCATTTCATTCAACAGCAAAACATGTGTTGCACCTTTTTGCTTGATTCATTATTCATTCACTAGGTAACAGGTCAGCAATAACTTTCCAACAGTACACACTTGGATGCTTTAAAAAAAGAAGACAGGAATAACAATGAGTGAAATAAGCCACTACAGCAAACAGCTTGCCAGGTCTGGTGGCTCAAGCCTACAAACCCAATACTCAGGAGGCAGACAGGGGGATCACCTCAAGTTCAAGGCCACCTGGATCCACCAAGTGAGTTCCAGGCCACCCAACGCTACACAGACCGTGTGTCAACAAAACAAAGCAAAAAAAAAAAGCGAAAAGAAGACCAAAGATGTTTCATGATCCTATTCATCTAACGGAAGGCAGTTTAACAGAATGGCATTACTATTTAAAAGCCTTATGTCATCTTTTCACAGAGCACAAGTAGAACCATATTTAAACTTACTCTAGAACTAAGACAAGGCTCTACCAGAAAGATCCACCAATATGATGCTGTTTTCTCTACCAGAACTGCTATCAAGTGTTACAAGACCCACTCCCCAGTCCTGGTCCCCTAAATCACCCTAACCATAGACAGATGACTGTTTCCCTAGATAGAACAAAATCAACATCAGTTAACCTCTGTAAAGGGAAAGATGGAGTTGGGCATGGTGGTGCATGTCTTTAATCCCAACACTAGGGAGGCAGAGGCTGGCGGATCTCTGTGAGTTCAAGGCCAGCCTGGTCTACATAGTGAGTTCCAGGCTAGGTGGGGCTACAGGGAGACCCTAAGGATGATGGATGGTGGTGAATGTAAATGGGATGGACCAGGAAGCACTGGATAAAATTAAGAAGCATATGGCCAAGTCTTCACAAATATTAAATATCTATTTGAACATGAACAATGCTGGGCATTATGCAAAAGTTTACTAGCAAAGCCCAGGTGTTTCTGGAGATTGATGTGGGTGGACACATGCTCTGGCCCAGGCAGACATAAAGGACATTTGGACCACTGGATAAATAGTGTGTTATCCACAGTCTTTGTATGACTGTGTTTTACTACCAAGGATAGCACTTAAATGATCATAGTCTACAAAGCAAAGCAAACTGCTTAGAAGAAAATGCAGCCAAATGACTTAAAGCATTATTACAGATTGCTTAACTTAGAGATGGTTTGTAAAGAACAGAAAAGGACACGAACAAAGACTGGAAAGAGCAAGGCAGACAATTCAGTACACCACCAAAAACCATGCTCCTAGCACAAAGCCTTCTGATTGCACTTAGTGGAGTTCATACTACAAACACATAAGATTTAGCTTCAGCACCATAGTTGAGTAACCCCAATCAGCTTTGGCCTTTACAAAAGGAATGGGGAATGCCACTAACTTCAAAAATATTTCTGGCAGCCCTGAATTCACGGTATGTGACTAATGTGTGTGGGATCGTGGAGGGCACACTAGCTAACGGTTAAAGTCAATCACACACACAGCCACTGTCCTTCAGATTTACTATAGTAAAAACCATTCACTTCCAAACATTTGTGAGCTTTCTAAATGTAAAAAGAGAAGTCTCTTAATGTGTCTTAAAAATGTAAATTCTATCATTCAGTATTACAAAAGTATAAACCCATTGCAATGAATGCCAAAGATGTTATTTTTACCTATTAAAATATTCTTTAAAAATCTGAGCCAGTGTAACAGCGTGATGGTGCACACATGTTATTCCAGTTATCAAGAGCTAGAAGCAGGAGGATTCATCCTGGGATATACAACACCCTACCCTGTCTATAAATAAATAAATAAATAAATAAATAAATAAATAAATAAGATAATATCTATCTGGCTGTGGCTCTTATCCTTGGCCACCACACAGCATCCTGCCATGACCTGGGAGAAGGTCTTGAGGCAGGATAGACAAAAAATTATGGACATAAGAAGGAAAACGCATTCCTCACCTCAGGGTCTAGTTGAAGCCCCTCACCAACTGAGAATCAAGAATGCCAACACAATTAACATTTGCTTAAGCCTTTTCTCCCTTCCCAGCTGCAAACCTGCAATATTCTAGAAATCTCAGCAGAAATGCCTTGTGCAACATTAGTAGGGCCTGATTTTACCTTACCAAATGATATCCCATCCAAAGAACCTCCAAAAGATGGAGAAAGGGGGGAAGAGTTTTAGCAAGCTTTTTTTTTTTCATGTGTATGGTGTATTGCCTGTGCATCCGAGTCCTGCAATGCCATTGAGGTCAGAAGAGGGCGTCGGATCACCTCAAACTAGGGTTACAGTTGTTAGCGGCCATGTGGGTGCTGGAATTCGAACCCAGGTCTTCTGCAAGAGCAGCCAGTGCTCTTAACCACTCAGTCATCTCTACAGCCCCAGCAACCTTTTGAAATATAATTTGAGAGCTACTAAAATGGCATATATGGTAATGCTAAAACCCCCTAGTTGTGGCTGAGCCTTGAGAAGCCCATACCCACACCTGTGTACGTCTTATTCTTTCCCTGAGCATCCCTCTCTCTTAATGCTGGTGCTTAAAAATCTATGTTAAAAAGTCTTTTAGCCGGGTGTGGTGGCGCAAGCCTTTAATCCCAGCACTAGGGAGGCAGAGGCAGGTGGATCTCTGTGAGTTCAAGGCCAGCCTGGTCTACATAGTGAGTTCCAGGCCAGCTGGGGCTACAGGGAGACCCTGTCTCACAAAAGACCAAAAAAAAAAAAAAAAGTCTTTTAATAAACAGCGATTCCTCTGAGGCGCCCACACCCATGCTTTTGGGTATGTGCCTTTCTATTATTTGTTAGAGACAGGGTCTCACTACGTGGCTCTAGACGAGGTTGGCCTTGAACAAACAGATCCTCCAGCCTCTGCCTCCCTAGTGCTGGGATTAAAGTTTAGCCTTTCTATTATTAACAAAGCCCCAATTCTGCTTACACACTGACTAGTCTTGAAATTTTTTTCTGCATCAAACTCAATCCTAGGTTTGCCTGTGTCAGGGTCCCTGAACAGGCTGCACTGGGCGACAGTTTGAACCTTTGACTCTGTCCCAGTCCTGGCTGACAGTTGACTGAAAGGGACCACACCGCCAGGAACCACAGGCCTTGGTCCCATTCCTGGCAAGTGGCTTCTGAAGAATACCGAACCTCTCTAGGCCTCACACATCTAGCAATGTGAGTGACAGCTGTGCCTACATCACAAGCGTTCCCGGGATTGATGCATTCGTAGGGCTTGCAAAGGCGTCCACACGCCACCCAGGCTCCCACGTCTGGAAATGCTGCGGAGTGGGCGACTCTTTTCGGCTGGGGTGTGTGGCTTCAAACCGCTTCAATGCTGACTGGCCCGCTCCAGGGCTGCACCGGCCTCGCCTCCAAGAAGCCCTCGCTGCCCGCCGCCCCCTCCCCGGCGCGCCCAGGCTCCGCAGGCCCGCGGGCCGTCACCCCGCCTCGCGCTGGCCTCCGAGGTCCCGGGGCGCCCCGAAGGCCGGTCCTCCAGCGCCGCGAATTCCACAGCCGCCCTGCCCGGCCTGGAAGCCGCACCGGTGTCCCCACAGCCGCGAAGCGCCGCAGGCCTTAGGGCGGAGAGGGACTCCCCCGGCCAGAGTCCAGGAGCACGCCCGCCCACAGGCCCCAGGGCTGCCCCCCGCCCCCCGATCTTACTGTTTCACGTTGTCCCCCAGCGCCTCGCTCAAGTTCTTCTTGGCCGCCTCCAGTTCGCTCACAAAGGTCGCCATTGCAGCGCGAGTCTCAGCCTGACCGCACACAGCGCGCCCACCGTGACCAGTAACCGAAAAATCAACTCCTCTGCGGAAGGCCCGGTAAGGACTCTGAAAGCCAGACCAGTCGGCCCCGCCCACCACGGCTCCGCAGACCAGGTTTGTTTGGTTCTCGGCTCCGCCCGCCTTACAGTCGGAGAAAGTGCCCAGCCAAATTCGGTTCTCCAACTCCCGCCTCCCGAGTCACGTGACCCGCTTCGCCTCCCAGGCTCCAGCCGGTCTTAAACCCGCCTTAGCTTCCTCTGGCGCACAGCAGGTGCGGCTCGCCCTGCCCCTAGTGACTGTTGTGCTCAGAATTCCCACTCAGCTCTAACCCAAAGCCAGAGCTCCAGGTCACAGAGTACATACTATATTCATTTTACCCTCTTTTCCTTATTTTTTGCCTAGTGCTCATCATCTATTATGTCGTTTAATTGGTTTATCTTGTTTTCTGTCTCCAACTGACAGACACTAAGTTCCATGAAGACAAGACTTATGTTGTTCAGGTAACAACGTTCAATATTTGCTGACTGAATAAGTAAACATATGGAAAATACAAAGAAAAAGACAAATAAAAAATGTTTAACCTCCCATTCCCAACCTCCCCATCAAAAAAAACCACAACAGAGATGTCAACATAACATAATCATACTCTATGCTTGGGTGATGGCTCAGTAGGTGACAGCATTTGCCCATTCTGGGGACTGAGACCAGAACCCCACATAAAAGCCAGACTCTGTTATCCCAGAACTCCTAGGGAAGATGGGAGGCAGCTAATCATTGTATAAAAAAGTGTGTGGACAAAAGAGAAAGAGGACCAACGTCCAAGGTTGTCCTCTGACCTTCCTGCCTACGTTCACATCCACACACAAACATACACATGCATATCATACACACAATAAAAAACACTTCAAAGTTCAAGTTGCAAACTTTTAAAGCCTAAACTAATTTATTTTAAGAATCAAATACATTTAAAAAAGGAATACAGGAGTAACTGCTCAGGAGCAACTTGCTAAAGCAAATTATACTTTAAATTTAAAAATATTTTATTTTTATTTTAGTGTATGAGTGTATTGCCTGCATGTATGTGAGTACACCCGTGTCATGCAATGCCACAGAGGTCAGAAGAGGTCTTCAGATTCCCCTGGAACTGGAGTTAAGGAGGGTTCGTAGCCGCCATGTGGGTGCGGGGAATCAAATCCCGGTCCTCTACAAGAGCAGTCAGTGCTCTTAACCGCTGAGCCATCTCTCCAGACCCATATACTTTAAATTTTTAAAAAGAATTTATAGTTTAAATTTTTAACTTATTCCTCTCAGCCCCTCTTCCGTATCTGCTGAGAAAGTATCTTCAGTAATAAGAAATTTAACCAAAAATACATGGTTTTATATAAACTCCCTTAAGTGCCAACTAATGATGGAACCCATTCCTTTCATTAATTGGAGCTGAGTCTCTACGTCTGTACTTTCTCCCACAGGCCTCTCTGGATCCCAGCATCACTGGTAAAGCCATACCATGAGCTGACACCAGAAAACAACCTGGCAACACAAGAGAGACCTCTCCCGAATTTCAGCATGAATAGTCTTCTTTATTGACCTCTCCTCAAAGTGCTGTTCTACCTGTGCTACCTTTTCCTAAGAATTACCCAAGATTACCCATTATGGCAGGTCATGCCACTTCTGAAGCACACTGCACCCTACCCAGCCCACCAGTAACCACTTCAATTAACATGCTTCTTTGATATAACAAACAAGGGAGCATGCTTCTTCATGTATAAAACGAAGAAGGGGGAGTTGTAGGCATGACTTTTACAATGTGGACAAACTATGGACAAATGAATTTTTCCTAACCTTGCAACCAAACAGTTAAGCTTACCTTAGCTATTTATAATGCAAACAAACTTACTGAGTCATGTGCTGCTCTTGTGTACTGGTCCTAGGACCTTAATCCCTCATGACCCTTCCTTGTCCTCAACTTAAAATAATGTGTGAATGTGTGTTTATTTACATATCAAGCACTGCAAACAGAGCTTATCTCATTGCAAATGATGAGAGAAATTGATAACATCTGTTTATGTGTATGTGTTTTAGTCCAGGGATCAGAAAGGGAAATTTTCTCTAATAAGATAAGGGTCTGACTTTTGCTTCCCCATGTCATGCTGGATACTGGTTCAATAAAACAGGGTAGGCCCTTGTTCTACACAGCTCTAGGAGAAATCTGAAGGAATATGTTCTCAGTTAGGTCCATTCTTTGCCTTAAAATGGTTTCTAAGAGTCAAGCTGATATTTATCCAAACATAACTGTTATGTAGTTTTGTGTAATAACTGCCACAATTTTGTTTCTGTTTTTTACATTAGGGTGTTTTATTGTAAGAACACAGCACAATACTCATCTAACAAAATATTTAAGTGTACATTATTGTTGACCGGGTATAACAATGTACATTAATTATGTAAAGTCTATTCATCTTGCTGGACTGAAACTTTAGGATTAGTAATTCACCATGTCTCTTCCCATCCCCACTAACCACTATTTCATCTTTGACTCTGTGAAGTTGAAAAGTTTTTTCACTTTTTTAATCATTTTTTTAAAATTTTTAATAACTACATGATTAGAAGAAGCATTTTACTACAGCTTTAATATATTCAGTAACACACTCCAGAATAAGATTACATCTCTTTCACAGTGGCTGCAAGTTTCTAGGTTCACAGTTGAATTAATACAGTTGTACAATATTGAACTCAGTATAAGCCCTGTAAGACA